TCACTCATTGGGTTGGGCACTTGGCTGCATTGGCACCTCTTTCGTGACCTATCTGCCAGTCAGGAGAGCCCTCAAACTAAAGGGGTATAGTCTTATTTTGTTAAAATGGGTTCCAGTAAAACTTACTCCCTATCTCTTTTTCCCTTCTCCCTCACGTAGTGCTGGAGGGTGCTGGTGAAGAAGAGGCTGAAGAGCCAGACGCTACTCTACAGACTACACTAAGTGAGGAGACCAGCAACCAAGAAGAGAGCCACAGTCAGTCAGGGGATAAAGATGAAGGTAACTGGTTTGACTAGCTCTGCGACTCTGTAAATTAAGGCATTGATTAAGGCTTGTGGAAACATTTCTTACCCATCCGTGCATCTTATCTGTGTGAAGAGTATAAGATACATTGAGCAGAGGCACTGGTGCATACTTTTCTTTTCCCATCCCTAACTTTTATCTGTCTGAAAAGTATAAAGTAGGTTGAGTAGAAGCATGGGCACATAAATACTCCATTACCACTGCAGGCTTCCAAACTAAGATTTTCTTGGCTCCCAGTAACTTGGCACCACATAACTTAGCCTCGAAAAACACCTGTTTATAATCCTCAAACTTATGTTCCAAAGACAGCATTATGCAGAGATCAAATGTTCACAGACAAACATGTTCCTCCTTGTTCACCCTCACATATTCTTCTCTTACAGTGACTTTCTCACAACACACATTCTGTGCTCTCCACCAGAGATGACTGAGCAGTAGAGTTGCAGGATGTTCTTGATTTTTTGAGAGACTTCTTTTTGGGGATAAGAGTGTTTAGTTTGAAAGCATTTTCTGTTTCAAACTTGTAAAGAGGAAAGTGGGAGGCCTTACCTGTGTTGTGTTTGACATGTCTGGATGTTGAGAAACCAGAGATGAGATTTTAGGTGTATTTTATAAGTTGGGACCTGAGATAGGAGCATGTGATGGAGAAGTCTAAATCTGAACAGCTTTATCTGTGACATTAGTCATGGATGTAACACACATGCTGCATGGACTAGTATGACTTGGTAGACCAAAAGAGAAAAAAAATACTTAGATGCCAGCTGTGGCAGTAAAGAGGCAATGGGGATGTTTGGGGTTTGTTCTAGTTGGATTTTTTGCTAATTTAGCTTATTCCATGTACAGATCTGGCTTAAACTACACTAAAAAGACAACCCAGTATCGTACACTGTGTTACTAATGCCTTAATTGTGCAGTCCTGCTCAAAACACGTGCTTGCTTGAATGACTGTGCTTACCAGAGCATGCATTCATCAGTACTGCTCTACTAGTTCATGGTGATCACAAGGTGCCACAAATGATACCATTTTACAGCAAGGGAGTGTGTAAGGTGAATCACACTATAAGCTCCATACTGAATTAAGGTTGAAAATGAAGTTAATGTGATTGTCTTATGAAAAGAAATTTACACCTTGTCCTGTGCATTCCAGTATGAGGAACTTGTTCTGTTGCAGTAACTCCAGTTATTAAGGGCTGCTGCCTCTGCTCCATCTTGGTCCAGCAGAGTGTGATGTGAGTTCCAGGCAGTGAAAACACTGTGTGTTTCTTCCTTTTAAGATGTCCTAGGAACTCCTATGTTTCTTTTTAATTCCAGAGAAGCAGCTGGAAAGCTTAAACAGCTACAAGGTATCACCAAGTTCACCAAACAGTTTGGACGGGGCAGACTTGTCCTCCATTGATGCCATGATGTCAGCAGTGATGAATGTGGGGAAGATTGCTGAGAACGGCGGGAACCCTCAAAATGTCAAATCACCCTCAAAGTCTCCTGCACCGAACCGGATTGGCAGGAGGAACCAGGTATGCAAACCCAAATCCAGAGAGGGTGAAAGGGAGACAAGCAGCTGTGTGGCAACTGATACAATATAATTATGTTTCTTTGATCGTTTTGCCTTTTTTTCCCCTCAGCGGATGTTTATTCTCTCTGCTGTTGTTCTTCTGGTGTCTCTTCAGAACATGACTTAGAAAATTGGGATTTGAAGGAGTCCACTTGCTTGGATTCACACATAAAACGTTTGAGCACAAGCTCCAATGTCATGCAATGGTGAGCTGGTCTAGCTGATGCCAAAGCATCAGCAGTGACAAAGTCACCTAAAAACTGCCATTTCATCCCCACTGCATCCTTTCTCCAGGCTCTTATGTTCACATAATCTATTGGGGGACCAGCTCAATTCATAAAACTAGGAGAAAAGGAGTTCTTCTGAGAGGAGCAGAGCAGTTTGGCAGGGGGCTTGGCTCAGCCATTGTGCGGGACCCCTTGTGAGGTGTGCTGCTGTCCCTGCTGGTTTTAGGTTAAAGGTGGTGCTGGAACAAAACATCCATCAGGAGGCACAGTTCATCTACATAGTATAAGTTGCCCTTACTTCATTGTTAATCAAAATATGAAAAGCTATTGCAGTATGAATCTTGCAGAGCAAATATATGTAGCTTTTATCAGTTTTTTCCATTTACCAGTTGATGGCACCAGTTGATAACAATATTGATCTAAATAAGTGAAAGGAGAGAGTCAAATCAGGTAAAGCTGTGATTATTTATATCCATATTTTTCTCCTGCTGGGCCAAGCTCTACCAAAGAAGGTGCTGCAGAATATAAAGGAATATCCCAAATCTCTGTGTCCATTTGACTTCAGAGTTTATGGTGAAGCACTGAGACTTAGTAAATGAATCAAGATGTAGCAGGGACCAGAAGGGTTGAGAGGCGTGACTCATGTGATGTTCCTATAGTGGTTTATTAATAGCTTGCCAAGTAGCTGCCCAGTTGACAGACTTATGACTTGTCTTGGATTTTTTTGCTTGAAAGGAGTTAAAAGCCTTTAACTGCAAATGGACATTCTTAAATGAAGAGTCTGGGTAGTATATGGACAACTGTGTTTGTGGGATCATGTGGCATAGCACCTGTCTTCAAGGTTTATTTGTAGTGTTCTCGCTTAGGGGCTGCCCTGGTTCCTTGATTTCATCATGTGAAGTGAGGCACTGGAGTCCAGACTAGTCTCAGTGGCAGTGCTATTACACAGCTGTCCACCGGTGCACCATGTGGTTTGGCTTCAGGGAAGTTTATTAGTGTTAGTGACCTTTATTCCACCTGATATTTCTGTGGGCATCGAATCAAAGGAAGCTCGAGAGTAAATGTGACAGGATTAAGAGGGATTCTTACAGCATAAAAATAAACAAATACATTGAAAACATAGTAAATAGCCTATTTGTTTTTAGGCTGAAAGATCGTTAAGGCCAGAGGGGCAAATGGCTACATGACTGAGGAAATAGAAGTGAGATGTGAAATATTAAGTGGGTATCAATCCAGTTAGCAGCCTCTAATACAGCAAATTTCCACTTTCAGCACAGCAGAATGAAAGCACTGAATTGTTTCAGTGTGTAGCAGTGCACAAATCTCCAGATTCTGGTCAGAATGTGCCCCTTATTATAATTTCAAGGATAATAACAGTTAGCTGGTTTTCTGGGTCTGACTGCTGTTTCCCATGAGCTGGCAGTGAAACATTTTGCCCTGAACCTTTGTCCCAAAGTCTATGGTTCTCTTTGTAATGCTGACTTTATCTTGGCTGTCGTCTACCTATAGTCTCACAAACATGTTCTCACATCAGCCTGCATCCATTTTAACTTCTCATTTGCTTTGCTCTTGGAGAAAATAGAAAGTGTGACAGAGGTGGGTTTTTGAGCTGGACAAAAGCAAATAGACTTACTGCACAACTCCAAAAGCATTTGCCGTCAGTTGAATGCAGATCAGTTATGCCAGGTTGACTTACTAAAGGGAGAGTAGATAACAGATGAGCTGCTAATTTTATCTTTCAGCTCAGGAGCTGTTTTTTCACCATTCTGGCTCTGGTGGGGTAGCTGAGTGCTGTGTTTTAAATTTGTGAATGAGGGTGCTCTTGCAGTAGGGATGCTAATGTTATTTTTGGTCTGAATTGGGTCAGTCAACAGCATTCCTATTGTAGAGACCCTGGATTTGCTTGAGCTGTGTTACGGTATGCGCCGTGTACCCTGTCTGACCACTGGAGAAAGTTTGGGTTTTAGTTAATAATAAACCCCAGATTCAGTACTAATCAGCTCTGGCTGAGCTATACTGTGTTTCTGATCTTTGCTTCAAGGTGAACCAGTAATTGCTCTATCTTCTGTTAATTTACTGATTCGAAGAGAAGGCAGTCTGGAAAGCAGGCTTTGAAACAATCAAGTGCATCATGTAGAACTGCAGCACTCGTTTAAAGGGGAGGGGGGCAAAAAGCCAGCGGTGGGTTGATAATTTCACAGAAATACCCTGAGGATTAAACACCATCTAAACTGTCAGCACAGCTGCAAGGATTTTCCTCAGGGCACTGTGTGTTTGTTCTCTGTCCTGAGCCAACTTTAACAGGGTTCCAGTATAATTGGAGCTGAACATTACTCCATGGACAGGTTGCATATAGTGAAATTAAAGTTGTATAAGTAGGATGGAATGAAGGTGTATGAATTACTTGTTTGTGTATAGAAATGGGGGAAGGGCACTGGGGTAATGCATTTTAATTTTCTTTAGGTGTTCAGACTTCATAATGGCAGCATTTCTTGCTTTGTTTCTAATGCTATGCAAGTGCTAGTACATTAGGCCTTGGCCTGTATGTGTGGCCTACAGTGATTACCTTTGGGATGTAGAGTTCTGAAATACAGTTAGATAAACACATACAAGCAAAAGAGTTGAGAGGAGTGGGAAAACCTAATTGTTGCAGTCCCAGACCTTTTAGAAGTGAAGTCACAAGTTTTGTTTGCTTCAGGGAAAATGGGAAAATGGCTCTTCATCCATGCCCACAGGTCACTGAAGTTAACAGAAAATGATCATGGCCCTGTTTCTGAAGACACAGTATAATATTATAATAGGGCACTCTCTAGTATGGTTCCCCAAATCATGCAGGAGGGGATATTGCTTTATTGAGACATAAAAAGAACTTTCTCTAACACTGTGTCAGCGTATTCCCTCCTAACGTGCCAGGGAATTTGTCACAAAGACTTGGGTTAGTCATTCTCGGTGTTCTCCACAAACTCGTGTCTCACAACCTGGAAATGTTTGCTTCTAAGCTGATGACTTTTGGGATGGCATTGGGGGGAAAGAGGTGTGTGGAGAAAGAAATTGCACAGATACACTCATACCCATCAACTTCCAGCTAAAGATCTCTTGAGGATGGGTTTTCCTTTTTGCTTGTTTTCATGCTCTTACTAATGATAATTAAAATAGCCAGCAGAGAACTTCAATAGGAAATGTCCTTTTGGAATAAACATTATACTTTCCCATCAGTCATGCAGAGATGGTTTTTGTACTCTCTTATCACCAGAAGTGCAGGTAACAAGCAGTGGATCTATCTGGTGAAGATTTGCACTATTCTACCGAAAGCTGAGGTTTAATTTTCAGCGCCAGACTGTCTTCCTTTTAATATACGGGCATTGGTGCAGAAGCCACGCCTGGGCTTCTTAGTGCAGTGGTTAAAAGTCTCTTGATGTCATACAGTAGCCATCCTTGTGGACAAAGGCAAGCACCTTTGGTTCCTGTAAGAGTGCCATTTCATCCGTGGCTGGAAGAGTGGTGGCTTTGCTCGGTGTCTCAAGGGCATACTTATGTCAGGTTGAGCTCTCGGGTTGGCTTCATTGTTTGTACTTGTGGTTTGACCATGGTTACTCCTGATTCTCACCTGGGTGGAGAATCACCGGGTTCATAATGTGTTCTTCTGGAGTCACGTACACTCCTGCATTGTCACCTCTTTCTCGTTATGATCTCATCAGATCTTGCGAGCTTCAGAAGGGTTGGGCCTGGCCAGTGTGCCTGGATGGGATGCTTCCTGGAGAAACACAGGATACTGAAGGAAGTGGTGCTGGTGATTCAGCGAATGCTGCTCTTCCTTCTGAGTCAGCCATGGAGCAGAGCATACAGCCCTTAGGAAAGGGCACCAGGATAGTGCTTTGCCATCAAGATGGGGTGGAAAATCTGAAGTTTGGCAACTTGTCCTTATTAAAAATCTTTTGGGGAGATTAATGACGTTTGCCCATATATTCTGGTGGTGTTACAGGAATTGCTTTCTGCTCACCTGAATTCCTTCTGACAGTTTGAGCTCATCGCAGTAATTGCCTTCACTTCCTGTCCTAAACTGCTACTGCTGAGTATCCGTATACTGTTAAAACACCTGCTGTACTTCTGTGGTAGTTGAAATGGCCCCTATTCATAAATTCACAAGTTTCTGAAACTTCCTTGAGGGATCTCTCAGATGATAAATGTATAAACATAAGTCATTCTGTTAGCAGTGACCTCTTGTTCTTGGGATGGATTATATTTTTACACCCTCAGCAGTAACAGCTTTCGAGTTGTTTTATATTGATACTCCTTCTGATTGTTTTGTTCTGTTTTGTTCTCAGGAAACAAAAGAAGAGAAGTCTTCCTATACCTGTCCTCTGTGTGAAAAGATTTGCACTACACAGCACCAGCTAACTATGCACATTCGTCAGGTATGCAGAGTACCAGCTCTGATTTCTCACTTTCATTAGGAGTGTCTGGTTTGCCAGGGTGCATTTTGCAGTGGTGAAAAACAATTCCATGGGCAAACCAGAAATGCTTCAATTATAACTTTATTCAGTTGTTTTGCTTTTATTTTAGCCTTCCCTTGCATTTTCTTCAAAAAAACACACCCCATAAACATAACCCTAAGGTGGATGATTTTCCTCCCTTCCCTAACATTCTGTGCCCCCCTCCCCCAACCCCACAGTGACTCAAAAAAGGATGTATGTCCTGTTCTACATAGATTAAGGTGTCCTAAGGATCTGGAAAGCCACTTCCATCATGAGGCCTAAGTCTTGTTTTGTCATCCTGTTTGAGTACACATCTCTTTACTGGTCATGCAACTTACAAAGCAGGAAGACACATTTTTAAAATCAACTCAGTTTAGAAGAGCCTCTCAGTCTTTCACAGGATACAGCAATTTTGGGAGGCAGAATTACCTTTTTTAAATGGATAATGCACTTTTTTGTTAGCTGCAGGCCTGTTCTTGCTCCTCCTGAAATATATGCATACTTAGTAAGGAGGTTTGGCCTTTTCTCTCGCAGAAGGTTCTGCTTTGGATGCTAAGGTGTGGTTGGCAACTGTGAGTTCACCAGATACTTATTACTTCAATTTTTCCTCCTTTACTGTAACTGTAACTTAATTGGTTTTTTTTCTTACTCTCCTGTTGATTTGGGTTTGGGTTTTTTTTTTAGTATGTGAAGAAATCTTCAAGTCTCTGAATACTCTGAAGTAAGAGTGGTACATACAGCACAGTAGCTAATGGCCATAATTTGACCCTGTAGTGTATTATAATGGCCACAGAAGTCTGCATATGCATTCATAAGCAGGTTACTGCTCTTTTCTTACTACATAGTCAGTTTGAAATTAATATCTTTAAAGAGTGTTTTCAACTATCCTTCTTCTGTTGTTAAGTTCATAAATACATCCACTTTCCTTACCACTCACACAGCCCAAAACCACTGCACAGCTTTAAGTATCCCAAGGTGCTTTTTGTTCGATGGGTTGTTGCTGGGTCCCTTTCTGTCTTCTTTTGCTTCAGATGCAGCAGAAATACTGCATGTGACAGGCATTGCAGGCTGTATGAAATAGCTGCTTGTGCTGGTGCATTAAAGGGTTAAAATGGGGGGGGATTGGGGTTGGAGTTGACAAGGGGAGGGCTGGGGAGGAGAGGTACATACAGGGCACACATTTATATTAAGGTGTGTGTATATATATATGTATTAAGGTATGGGTGGCTCTTTAAAGCTGCTTTTAAGGTGTTTATAGTTCTTGCTGATATTTTACTGGCACTTCAGAAGGGGCATTCAATGAAAAAACTCATTGCTTTCTCTAGCATAACACTGACACTGGAGGGACAGACCATTCCTGCAGCATCTGTGGAAAGTCTCTGAGCTCAGCGAGCTCCCTTGATCGCCACATGCTGGTGCACTCAGGTGAAAGGCCTTATAAATGTTCAGTATGTGGACAGTCCTTCACCACCAATGGAAACATGCACAGGTGAGTGCTGTTCGTGTCCCAGGATTTTGGAAAGGATTGAAGCATAAGGGGCTGTTTTGTTTCCCTGGAGAGACTTGCAGGCTGGCTAAAGACACTTTCTTGGGCAGAAAACGGGGAGTATCTGTGACCTACAAATATGGCATGGCACAAATACACACTACAAATACCAGGATGCTTAAGTAGTGGGAGGAAGTCAGAATTAAGAAAGGTCTTTAGCGCTCTTCAAGTATTTTCAAGAGTTGCTATGGCTTTTTTTTTATTAGTAGCATTATTATTGTTTTGACAAATGGATTTTTCTCAGAGTACAAAAATATATAGCCAAGCTGCTTAGCAGCTTCGAATTTTGTAACTTCAGAGTTGTGGATGCAAGTGGTTCTATTAAAGCACCTGTGGTGTTGTTGATGTTACATAGTTAGGCATCCAAGTGCTGTCATGGAGGTGCCTCTCCCGTAGCTTCCTTTGTAGGGATATAGCAATATGTACAATTGTCAACTGGGGAAACAAAATGTTAAATCATGTGGATGTCCCTTCCCCTCTCTCATCCCTTGATTCAGTATCCATGTATTTGCATGGGTGGAACACTTCAGAGCTGATTAAGACTTTGTGGATTCCCACATAGTTTTAGTCCCCATATCAAAGAGTTTGCAACCTACAAAGAAATTGTGAGAAAAGTGGGGAAAAGAATATAGCTTTTAAGCAAAATGGCAAGAGTGATGATTATGGACTGGTCCTGTGTGGGAGGGAAGAGGTCTTGTTTCCTTGATTATTACCCATTACTTTCTAAGCAGTGTGCTATAGGTGGAATGGCAGGGATCATTTCCATGACAATAGGGAAGATAACATAATGCTGCACAAAGGATGCAATAGCTGTTTATAGCTTCATCTTTTCTGTATCATTTCGTCCAGGTTAAACACTTACATGAAAACAGAGGAGAAATTGGAGGGCATGCAGTTTTGTAATTCTGTATTTATTTAACTTATAATTGATTGGAATTGGGGAGAGTTTGAAAGATAGATATAAAATGAGAAGGGAAAAGCACAATGGAGGAGAAACTGGCCTTGGGCATTGAAAAAGTCATACATCTGACTCATCTGACCAGAGGCGTTGTGAGCCACATGTTTACAGACTGGGTTAGTCTGTGTGCTGTGAGGAAGGCAGGGCTGCTGCTGAGCTGCAGCTAATGGCACTGTCAGGATCCAAGAGTGAGTTCCAGTGGTAGAACTCTGGGGTGGTCAGTCACTTGCGTCTGGGCTGTTTGCTGAAGGACTGCTTCTGTGGTTTCTTCGGCTTTGTGTTCACGAGGCATCTCCTCATCCTCTCCTAGAAGCAGGGAGAAGAGCCTTCCCCTGAAACTTGACTCCAGGCCTTTGAGAGTTTGATGTAGTCACCTTTGCTTATGTGAGTTTCCAGTACAGCAACTCTCAGCATGCTTTTTGTAGCAGATTTGCCAGAAGTGCTAGGCTCAGTGACTTGTCCTTAAGAAGTGAGTACAGGTCAGAACCTTCTGATGAGAAGATTGTTTGGTTTAAAATTTTTCTCTTCAACAAGATGCTGCTGGAAGTTACCAAGATGGAGTGCTGTATTCACTGATTGCACTAAGAAGGACCTAAGTACTTGCAAGGAAAATCTTCATATTAAAATTTCTTTCCATATGATAGGTTCCTGTCTGATCTGTAAAACTCCTTCTTGTGTAGGCCTGCACTGCAGCAGCAGAAACCTGTTACTGAGCTTGGTGGCCCTGCAGCAAGTGACCCCAGACCCATGACAGGCAAAACCCTGAGCACATTGAAACATTCTGGTTTTGCTAAAGGAGAGTTGTGGTTGGCAGACTGTGCCACCGTTTTTTTTCCAGTGAATAACCTGTTCTTGTTGCTGTAACAGGGTATAATACTGAATCTTGATGCTGAAGGGAAGCATCAATGTGCAAGTAGGCAGATGAGGATAACGGCAAAATCAAATCAAATCTTTTTATCTGCTGCTATGACACTCTCACAAGGAAGATGTTCATTTTGCCTACTGGTACCTCTATCTGAAATAGGTATTTCTAGTCTAAGATGGTGTGAAGTAAATTTCTTTTGCAGGCATCTCAAGCTTAGCTGTAGCATCATGTCCAGTGGACTGTCAGTGCTCTGGCTGAATGCCTCTCTTATCACATTCAGAACTGTTTCTGCCTTAGGATTCTGGAGCAAGGACCTGCTTGCCAGGTCCTGCCTTGTGTATAACTCCCATAGGCCTTGCTTTTGATGGTGCCATATCTGACCTTCTGCACCAGCTAGGTAATAATACAAGTCCACCTTTCTCTGTTTTTGTGTGCAGTTCCTTTATCATTCTCTATTTTGTGCTATGGTACCCAAGTAGTGACAGATACATGCCCAAACCAGCAAAAGATAAGATTTCTAACATGCCCCTGGTAGCCAACATGGTGGTGTGTCTGGAGCATTGAAATGTGCAGTCAGAGAGAAAAGTTACAGGTTTGGCAGAAATTTGTGAATGGGCTGCAAAAGAATCAACGTAGCTTGTGAGCTTCCCAAGTGTTACTGCACTTACATCAAATATGCTCAGTTCACTAGAGTGGAGCAAGTGAGAAGTTAGTCCAGTGGTACCTGAATGGGGGTAAAAAATGTATAGGTACATGCTGTGTACATCTTCCCTTTCCCCAGCTCTGCCTTGTTCTGGCTCTTGCTTATCTGTCTATACTATTTTTAAATCCAGACCTTTTAGGGGAAAAAGTACAATGGAATGGTTTTGTCCAGAGAAATACTGTGCCACAGGAGTGTTTATTGCTGTTCCATCACAGGATGAAATTTCTGATCCATTTTTCCACCTCAGAGCAGCCAGGTCATTAGACATTCAGCTGAGTGGAAGAGGGAAGGAGGCAGATTTTGATTGCTTTTTGGGATTAAAAAATATCAGTGTCGTTACACTCTCAAGTGTACATCATTTCCATCAAAAGTAATTTTTCTCCACCCTCACTTTATTAAGAAAGAAAAAAACCCGGAGCTTTTATTTGTTGCTGTTTTGAATGCAGTAGCCAGACTTTTTGTGGAGTGAGAATGATGTCTTCTGCACATCTCTGAGTTAGTCTAGCTGTCCTGGGGTGTTGCATGTACTCTTCACCTGTGAAATTGATGCTGCCCTTCCTGACTCCCACAATACATGCAACACTTTATTTGTACATGAGTCATAGCCTCTCACATGAAGTCCAGTTTCTTTTTGTTCTGTTCCTTGGCTCCTTGTCAACAAGTCAGGTTGAATGGGGACAGCAGACAGGGGTGGAGGGAGAAGGTTCTCTTGTGCAGCACTATTCTGAAGAAGAGATTAGAACCTGCTTCCTTGTCTGACCAGGGTGTCTCTTGGCCAGGATACCTTGAGCTTGGGGCATCTCTGAAAATTCTCTTAGGGCTGCCAGGCTGTTAAGGAGTGACCTGAGCCTCTTGCACAGACAGTTGCAGTTGGAGAGAGTAAAGGTCTCTGGAGATAGCTCAATGTCCAGAGCGAAAAGCTGATTTTCTCATTCTTCCGAATGTGCCGTCAAGCTGTCTGCCTCCTTGTTAGTGCTGCTCCTGCTGTTTGGGGAGGGTTATAACTGAGATGATAACTGGGGGATCCATCAGTGCCTGGTATCAGGATCAGGAATTGCTCTAGGGGAGGAGATCTGGAGATGATGCTGTTTTTAGAAATGCTTTCTGACTGGTACTGGAAAGAGCAAGTCATCTTGGAAATAGCAAGCCTTCTAGCATCAGGGACTCATTTGGGGTTTGGGGGCATTGTATTCTTGGGGCTTCTGGGGAATTTTGAGGAAGGAGTTAGGTCATAGTTAATTTTGAGTTCAAAATTCCTGTAACTAGAATGACACTGCAATGATCAGTACATAAGAAAATCTGCAATTTAGGATATGCGTGATTCTCACTTTTCAGCTGGGAGAGGCAGACCCTGTGGCTTTCTCTTGGTCACAGTCAATTAAAGTTGAATACTCTCATATCTCCATCAGGAGCATAAACTATATGGAGGGGTGTGGGGGTGTATGAAGAGTTTTCTGTAGCTCTGGAAGAGCTGGGAATTTCCAGTGTACTGTCTCCAGTCAATAGATTGCAATTATTAAAGGCTTTCCAAAGGTTTTCCATCTGTACTGCCACAGTATCTCCCTAGGGGGTTCATCTAGGAATAGCCCAATTCTGAGGAGCCGTTCTGGGTCTAGACTCTGACACCAGATAGGAGGCTGCAAGTCTCTTATTCCATCTCAGCCACTGAATCTTCCCAAAATGCAGATAGAGGAGTTAGGCTGTGGCTGTGGGTTGCTGTGGTGGTGCTGGTTTGTAAGGGACCTTGAGGTGGAGAAGAAACTTTGCTTGACTTACTGTGTTGCATTCCAGTAGATGCCCTTCCCCACTTGCTCCAAAAGTGTTTCCTATGGGGGCAGAAGACTTTGTCAGCAGTTCCTTTTCCATTTCTGTGACTGAGAATGGTCTGTACCTATCACTTTAAAGTCAACATTTTCCTCCCTGCCAAAGACATGCTCTCTGTGCAACTTGAAAATGTTAATAGGATAGAAATGCCAGAAGGGAGGCAAGAAATGAAATTTCCTGCCAGTTTCCAGTGGGAAGTTATTAAAGGCTCTGTGGCAAGTCTGAAAAGAGTAAAGGGATAATATATGTGTTTCAGCCACAGCTTCCCCAGTGGGGTAAAACAAGCTGCAGAGTCCATGGCCAGTTTTCTCCAGGCCGTAAGTGTGGTGATGCAAACAAACTGAAATGTTTCATATGAAACCAAAACGTCACAAGTATCTACCTTCTTTCTCTTTTTCCATTCCTTACGTAACAAAATTATTCATAATGGCTTTTTACTTACATCCTGCTTAGGTACTTGTAGGCTGTTTATGTACCATCTCAGGAGCAGGTCTCAAAAGTTTGGGGATTTTTTTTTTTTTTTTTGGCACATGCAAAACACCACATGCAACAACCAGATGCAGAAGTCTTTGAAACTCAGATTGGAAGATCTG